TTGGGACCCAAGGAGAACTGAAGTACAATGGAGTTAGTTTTGGCATATGTGTTTTGAAAAAGCACACATATGCTTCTTGGATGCTTCCCTGCTTGAGAACTTGTAGTTTGCAAGATGACGAGACACACACGGTCCACACCAAAATATCGCAAGAATGGTCTGTAGGCCAATCACTAATATTCCTCCCTTCTGAAGCTCCTTGGGATGGGCTGTCATAGTTTACACTGCTCTCAGAACTGCTGTCTTCCATGTTCCTACTAGTATAGGCCACTTAGAGCACCTAATTGCTTTTCTAGTCCAAAATCCTAAAAGTCATCCATATCCCTGAAACAAATAACATGGTAAGACTTGTCATAGTTCACTCACAGTGACACATTTTCTCCAACAAGGCCACACCCCCTATTCCTTTCAAATGGTGACACTCCTTAGTGACTAAGCATTCACATGTATGAGCCAATGGGGGTCATTCTGACTCAAATCCCCACATTCCACTCCCTGGACCCCACAGGTTCATAGCCATAGGTTTTTGCCATAATGCAAAAATGCATTCAGTTCAACTTCAAAAGCCCATGCCAAGCCCAATGTCCCTGCTTCTCTCTTTTTTCTTTGTTTCTCCCTGTGTGTCTCTCTCCTTCTCTGTCATCACTGTCTCTCTATGTCTCTGTCCCTCTCCTTCTCTCTCTACCCACAGATCTGGATTATGTAGTTCTTGGCTACTTCTCCAGCACCACACCTGTCTGCCACCACGCTTACCTCTGCCATGCTCCCAGACATGAGGAAAATGGACTAATCCTCTGAAACTGCAGGCCAGCCCCCAGTTAAAGGCTGTCTTTCATAAGAGTTGCCTTGGTCATGGTGTTTCTTCACAGCAATAGAACACTGATTAAGAAGACAAGACAGGTTCTTCACTCTCTGGTGATATCTTCGTTCACATAGGTGCAATATCTGGGAGATGCTCAGGAAGCTCTTTTCTCTGTACACATCTGCTAAACACCAAAGCTCAGGCTTCCTCAGAGTGGTGGTCATGTTTCTTAGTTATGTGGTAACTGGCTTCCCCAGAGCAAACACCTCGAGACAGATACCATAGAGTTTCACGTGACCTTACCTTGGAAGCACCAGAGACTAGTTACTTTTGCCATGCTCTGCTGGTCAGTGTCAGAAAGGCCTGCCTGTTGTTTTTAGCTAAGTTGTTCTAGTTACCAATAGCGACTCAGGAGTAGATATTGGGGTGAAAACCTGCTAGACCGAGGAGTCAAGAAGCAACGGGCTGACTTTCCTCTTTGGCTGGAGACCCAGCAAAGAGCATCTCTCCACCCCGTCCCAAATGAAAGAGACGGGGATCTCTAAGCCTGCCTCTACTCCTTACTGTGTCTCTCTGTCGGTATTCTTGGCTCTTTTGTTCTCTCTATGGCTAGTTTCTGTCAACTGGTTGCTGGCTCTCCCCCCTGATCCAAGGTTAATTTTATTAAAACACTCTCAGAGTTTCACAGTGTGATCAAATATCCCACAACACCCGCCCAGGATTCTAAAGAAAAGGAAACAGTCTGGTCTGTATCTGGGTGTCATTGGTGAGCATGGAGGGAGAAGAGCTGACGGCCACCTAAAGCGAGAAGCCCACAGGGTCTGCTTAAAGGACAAAGGGATTATTAAGAAAGGAAAACTCACAAGACAGACCGAAGGAATTGTCGCAGGGTCCTGGAAAAGGTAAGGCACAGTCCCACACTGTGCTTCCATGCCTGAGACTGCCCCCGCATCCAAGTCCCATGAGGGAGCCAAGAGAGCTGTGCAAAAAGCAAACAGTAAAAGGCTGTGTAAAAAGCAAGAAGAAAGACCACAAAATAGGTTTGGACTCAACAGTTAACAGCACAGGCTGTTCTTGTAGAGGACCCAGGTTCAGTTCCCAGCACCCACATCACAGCTCACCACAGTCTCTAACTCCAGTTCTAGGGCATCTGAAGCTTTCTCTGGCCTCTGCAGGTACTGTGTGTACATGGTACAAAGACAGACATGCAGGCCAAACATCCATATACGTAAATCGTAAATAAAATGCAAAAATAAAGTGTTTTAAGGAAACCACTGAAAGATAAACTGGAGAGGGGCAGGCAGCTAGAGAGCAGTGAGCCCCAGACACCGGCCTACAAACAAAAAAAAAAAAAGTACTTTAAGAAGGTGATTAGTCAGGCTAGTCTGTCCCATCAAGAGGCAGGCTGAGACACCACCAAAGGACAAAGTGAGGCTTCTGTCCTTGGTGCCCTTGGGGAGTAAAATGCCAGGTGGGTTCAGAACTGAGAAGTCAGTAAGTGGAGGGCAGGCGGGCGGGCAGAGGGTGCAGTGTTCACAGACTTGGTAGTCTTACCAAGTGGGAGCCTGTGACCCAGAAAGGTCTGTGTATGTGGAAACACAGCCTGTGGTGGCTGCCAGCTCCTCGCCCTTTCATGTCAAGGCCATGGGTCTGTAGAGACATCTTCAGGGTGAGCCGAGATCTTGGCCTCTCTTAACTCCCACTGAGACCTGTATCAAGGCTAAGATATCACCTGACCAGTAAAGATGAACCATTCTATAACCTCCAGAACAGAGACAGTCAGAGCATGTCCCTATTAAGCAGCTAAACAGTCACAGTACCCCCTTAAATTTTGTTGAACATGCAGATTTCCAGGCCGTCTTGGGGTCTAGCTGTCAGAGCCTCCAGGAGCCAGAAAGGTCTCCAGAAGATTCACCTGTGGTCTGTTTTGAGATCTCTTGAAAGGAGCCGAAACAAACACAAACTTGAAGATGCATCTCAGGTCTGGCCTCCTGAGGACCTTGGAATCACAGGTTGTTAAGGATAAAATGGATATTACCAAGTGTCTAACCTGAAACTGTAGGCCTTGAACTGCAGTGATCCTCCTGCCTCCACCTTGGATAAATAGGCTTGTTCATCATGCCTGGATAGTGTTTGAGGATAGGTTTGCGTTTGTTTTCTGCTACACAAATCAAAGCAGATAGCTCGGCTCGCATTACTGAGTCTGGCTCTCCCATGGTTTGAGGCAGTTACAGAGGCGGCGCAGCTTCCCAGCCTGGGCAGTGAGCTTTTTCCAAGAACTGGGTTAATCCATCTGGGTCTTGGCTCGGGCCCTCACTTTTGCCCTTTCAAATTCCCTGTCTCTTTGGAGAGGTGGACAGTCCACTTTCTGAGCGCGCTGCAGCTGGGGCTCCCTTTGCTTCAGCAGCGATTTAACCTTAAAATCTGTGACAGATGGAATTGATAGGCTCACCAAAGGAAAGGGAGGAAAGCGCGGTTGTGACAGGCCGCAGACTCGCGGTGCCTCTGGTGGCCAAAGGCTGCGTTGCGCCACAGTTAAGGTATCTTGTGAGAGTCCTGCTTAGACCGCAAAGCCAGCTCCGCTAGCAGCTTAGCTTTGAACACGCTGAGGAACTGAAATGTATACTTCACAGCTCGTAGCGGGTCGGTTTACCTCCGTCCTCTGTGCAGTGAGTGCAGCCGGGTGGTAGCGCTCAGCATCCCCATTGTGTTTAATTGCTACGCTTTCTCATTGCCGTTCGTGTTACAATCATGAATTAAGAAATGGATTCAGTTCTGTGGACTTCTCCCAGTTTGGAATCGACGCTCAGTGCCTTACCTGCCCGATCAGGGGATTAAAACCTGGTGGAAAGTGTCCTTCTTTCTTGCGATGGTGGTAATGGTTATGGTCATGATGGTGTGGGGGGGGGGGCAGAGAGAGACAGAGACAGAGAGACAGACACAGAGGAGTCCGCGTGTGCCTGCGCGCGGTCTGTGTCTAAGTTTCTAAAGTCTCGCATTAAATTCTCAGGACCCCCTCCCTTCGCTATACCCCCAGAGGTGATCAGGACTCAAAGACGCGGAGCCTGAAAATTAAAGTGACTTTCGAACTCTCTCTAATGCAAAGATGGGGGATAAGTGAGAATTAATAAAAGTGTCCCCCCCCCACCCAAACAAAAAGGGGGCGGGGGAAGCGAACAAAAAGGCTGGTGGCTGAGCCGGATGCAGGCAGCTGGCCCTAAGCCCTGCCCGCTGGCTCTGAGCGCGAGCTGAGGTTCGGTATCCCAGCCTCCTGAAGAGTGGGAGGAGCTGGGCCTGTGTCAGGCTCCCTAAGCCGTTCCTTTCAAGCCCTGAATGCCTGAATGTGAGCTGCCCACCGCCCTCCCCCCACTCTGCAACCCCACTCCAGCGGCTCGTAAAAAAAAAAGTTTCAACAACAACAGGCTGGACCAATAGCAGCGCGCAAAGCCCGGGAAGGGGGCCGAGCAAAGGGCGCCCGAGAGTGGAGAAAGGAGAAAGCGGGCAAGCCTGGAGCGCGCGGGGCCGGGGCTCGGCGAGCCGAAAGAGCGTTGCTAATGTTTTTGTTTGTTTGCTTTTCTATGCATGCATAATGAGGGGGCGCCGCGGCACCACACGGGGGCTCCAGGCCCATTTTTGTATTTAAAGCCTCGCGGCGAGCAAGTCGGAAGCCGGGCTCCGCGGATCCGCTCCCCAGGCTCCAGGTCCCCGAGCCGAGCCGCGCGCTCCGAGTTTCGGGGTCCTCCCAGCGCCTGGCGCCCAGAGCTTCCCGGAGCGTGGCCCAGGCCGGGGCGGAGGGGGAGGGGACCCGGCGGCCTGGCCGCGGGAAGGCGGGATGCGAGGGCTACGAAGTGCAACGCGCCGCTGAGCCGGGGACCGAGGAGTCGCCGGCCGCACGATCATCTGCAGGCGCCGAGCACCATGCACCCCCGGCGCCGCGCGCTCCTGCAGCCTCGCCGCGGCCCTCCGGGGCGGCGTTGAGCGCCTCCAGCCGCCGACCAGAGCCGGACCTGCGTCGCCGAGCCTCTCAGGGAGCCCCCGCCGCAGTGCCGGAGCGAACACCCGCCTCTATCAGCTGCCGGGCCGCCGGCATGGATGGATGAGGACGCCCATGCCAGAAGTGAGCGGGACTCGGACAAACTTTTCCAGCGGCCCCACTGACGCCGCCCGCGCCTCATCTCCGCTCTGCACCCTGTCCGGCGGCCGCTGCTGCCCGCGATGCTAGCCGCGCTGCTGGGCGGCGGCGGGGCCCGCACGGGGACCGTTCCGGGCGCCTTGCTGTGCCTGGTGGCGCTGCTGCAACTGCTGGGCTCGGCGCCGCGGGGCTCGGGGCTGGCGCACGGCCGCCGCCTCATCTGTTGGCAGGCGCTGCTGCAGTGCCAGGGCGAGCCCGACTGCAGCTACGCCTACAGCCAGTACGCCGAGGCGTGCGCGCCGGTGCTGGCGCAGCGCGGCGGGGCTGACGCTCCGGGGCCCGCCGGCGCCTTCCCCGCTTCGGCCGCGTCCTTCTCGCCGCGCTGGCGCTGCCCGAGCCACTGCATCTCGGCGCTCATCCAGCTCAACCACACGCGCCGCGGGCCCGCGCTGGAAGACTGCGACTGCGCGCAGGACGAACACTGCAGGTCCACCAAGCGCGCCATCGAGCCCTGCCTGCCTCGCACCAGCGGCGTGGGCCCAGGCGCGGGAGCGGGCTCGGTCATGGGCTGCACTGAGGCCCGGCGACGCTGCGACCGCGACAGTCGCTGCAACCTGGCACTCAGCCGCTACCTGGCCTACTGCGGCAAGCTTTTCAACGGACTGCGCTGCACCGACGAGTGCCGCGCGGTCATCGAGGACATGCTGGCGGTGCCCAAGGCGGCGCTGCTCAACGACTGCGTGTGCGATGGGCTGGAGCGGCCCATCTGCGAGTCGGTCAAGGAGAACATGGCCCGCCTGTGCTTCGGCCCAGACGCGGGCAACGGTCCGGGCAGCAGTGGCTCGGATGGGGGCCTGGACGACTACTACGACGAAGACTATGACGAGGAGCAGCGCGCGGGGACGGCGGGCGGCGAGCAGCCCTTGGACGATGACGACGGCCTCGCTCGCCCGGGCGGCGGCGCTGCTGCGGCGGGCGGCCGCGGGGACCTGCCCTACGGGCCGGGGCGCAGGAGTAGCAGCAGCGGCAGTGGAGGCCACTGCGCGACCCGAGGCTCCTGGACCCGGCTTGTTTGCTTGCTGCTGCTGCTGCTACTGCTGCTCGGGTCACACTTGTAGCCCTTGCGCCCCTGCGATCCGGCCGGTTCCCGAGCCGGGCACCTGTGGCTCAGGGGCCGGGGATGGTCTGGAACACTGACCACACTCTCCCTGGGTGGACAAGGGCCCAGCACATACCCCAGCCACCATGCCTGGCCCTCCACTGTGCGGTTTCCAGGCTGCAAAGATAACCGACTGATCTATCCTACCGCCTGGAATCTGCAGAATTCAGGACACCCTGCAAAAAGCAACGGAGGCCTGGACTGCTGACCGGTGGGAGTCTTCACAGCCCCAAGGGACTGGGGGAGGGGATGTTGAAGGGAATTAGGTTTGCAAAGGGGCCATTTTTTTGTTTTGTTTTTAAACAGTTTTCCTATGAGGGGACACATAGTACTGGTAACGACTTTAATTGCTTGTGGCCACTGAGAAACACAGCAATCGTAAGTAAATGGAAGAGTTCCCTTACCGATTCATTCCTGTACTCTTGCGCCGGGTGTGGAGCCGGCGATTGCCTTGTCTGGGTCCCCGAAATTACGTCTACATTATAACCCTAACCCCCACCTCAGTGCCACTGCCGCTGTTCTGATCGCTGAACACCACGTGTCTTAGAATTAAGGGTCCAAAAACCTGGCCTAAAGAGTTACCATGGTGTTGAACAATGCAAGTTTTTATCTTAAAGCTCTGTACTGCCATCTAGGAAAACCTCTGTGTGGTGTGTGTTTTGTCCTTTTTTTGTTTTGTTTTTTGTTTTTTAGTTTGTTTTGTTTTGTTTTGACCAAGAAATTCTAAGTTTGAATATGCAGAGATCGAGTATTGCCTCTGCCCTATCGGGGTCTTCCACCCTGGTACGTCGTATATAAACTGTATTAAAACTGGGGTTTCTTACCAGTTGCTGTACTTTGTATATAGAATTTTTATAAATTGTATGCGTCAGAAATAATTTATTTTTAAAAAGAAATTAAAAACTTTAAATCTGCATCAATGTTACATCACCCCCATCCAGGAAATGTATAGAACACATTGGTCACCCGGAACCCACTCACACAAGCCCATTTTAAAGTGTGCCCTGTGTAGAGCAGTCTTAAAAATGTACAGTGTATTTTACAGATTTGAAGTAACGTTCTTATTTTCAAGAGAATTTATGGACATTGTAGAAATGTATAAATGCATTTCCAAACTGCCTTAAACATTGTATTTTTATAGACATCATTTTTAAAGTCCTGTGTTTTAAATAACTATGACTTTGTGTATCTTTTGGTTGTTTTATTAAGAATGCACACATCAGTAAAGAGTTTCAACAGTGGCTTCTGTGTGGCTGCTCCCCACAGTCATACTGTGGTTAACCCGGTGGTGGGCGGGAGGGGGCTGGAGGGGGCACTGGGATTCAATCAGACATCAAGTGAAATTAAAGTGCAGTGCAAAATAGAATGTGAGCTAATGCCTTTAATTTAATGAACAATTAGATGTTTGTAAATGAGGCAGCTAAAACAATTTGTAACTGGCCTCTGCTGGTACTGTTGGCATTTGTGAAGAGAATTCACAAAATATTGTCTCTTGTGTGAGGATAACCTCCTCACTCAGAGACCCACCCTGCACACCCCCTCCCTTTTGCTCCTGACCCCCAGGAGTGTCCTCTGCCTTCTCATTCAATCAAACATGCCAATAACATCTGTTACCAATAGATCTAGGAAGCCTACAAGACTCAATACTTCAAAGCCATTTTCACACTTTTGCTGGAAAAAAAAATACAAAATTTTGTTACAAAACATTGAGGCGTGCAAAAGTAAACACACCATGGAGGGAAATAATCACCAGGACTGGTAATATTGTCCTGAGGAGCTGTTGAACAGTGGGCTGGAGGCTGGGTTTCCGCCAAGCTCCTGATGCACACTCAAACGCCCTTACATAAATAATTACACTCTTAAGCTGTGTCGAGTGCTGATACACTTGACCTTGTAAATAGAAATGTTTGCAGTAGGAATAAACTCCGGCATTGGAAAATCTTTTAAACATTAACACAAAAGAGAGCAGTCTGTCCTCTGGGGATTTGAGCCCGAACCACGGCGAGCTAGGCACTTGCAAGGGGGAAAAAGTTTATTTATCTTCTATTCCTGGTGTTTATTTAAAGCTTTTCATTTTAAACTCGGTGATTGGAAGGCAAGTCAGGAGTTTAAAAGTCACCACAAATAAACTTTGTCTGAGGGGTCGACAGATTAGCAAGATCTGGTGTCTCTTTATTTGATATTAGCATGTGCTGAGAAAACAACTAGATTTCTCTGCTGCCTAAAGTAATTAACCAAATTGTGCCCTTTCCCATTCCTTCCCACCTACTCCCACCTCTGCTTTTGAGGCCTTTTTTCTTTTGCCTCTCTCTTTTCCTTAGCTGTTAGTGAGGAAGTCCAAACTTCTCTTCATGTCCCCCAAACCAAGATCCCCCATGTGTGGTACCAGAAAGTCATCAGCCTGGAGCCCAGGAGAGTAGTGTGTGGTTAGACCAAAGTCACCTGAATGATTGAGCAAGCATAATGTTAAAACCAAGAGCAGTGTTTTTTTGTTTTTTTGGTTTTTTTTTTTGGGGGGGGGGGACTAAACAAAGAGTATTCCTAGGGGCTTGTAAGGGAAATCAGATTTTATTTATTTTTCACTTTTTTATTTTTTATTTTACAAAAGGACTACAGGTTAGCAGTGCTCCTGCACTTTTGCTTAAATATATTTAAATCCTCTCCGTAACGGGTTATTTTAACACATTCTCCACTAGAAGTTAAGTCTTTGTCACAGTAAAAGCCCAGTTCTTCCCAGTAATAAGTTAGACAGCACCGGGAAGGGCCTGACAATTAACTGCTACAATAAACTCACGACTTGATTTTACAGGGTCCTGTCAGAGGCATCTGCCTAGAATAAATCATCACAGCCTACTCTGGGCAGGAGGGATGTGGCTTTATGCTTTCTCCCTTGAAGAAAGTGAACATTGATCCATGGCCCACTTAAACCAGGAGATGCTCTGGCCTGGAGTCCTCGCCACCGGACAGAACCAGTGCATTTCAGAACAGATCACAGAGATGTAGAGCAATGGTTTTCAAGAGTATGGTGCCTCTATACCACCAGTCAGTCCTCTGCTTCCAGACAGAAAAGATTTTTACAGATGTTGACATCTGCAATATCTTGAAGTCTCTAGGGAGGCCTTTGGAATTCTGGACATTTGGCAGGCTCAGATGTCTCTTAGAGATGCCTGGAAGGGCCATTAATGAGAGAAAAAAGGTAGTTTTTTTTTTTTTTTTTTTTTTTTTTTTTTTTTTTTTTTTTTTTTTTTTTTTTTTTTTTTTTTTTTTTTTTTTTTTTTTGGCTTTTCTGGACAATTTCCAGGAAGTTCCCCCACCCCCACCCCATGAGAGGCAGGGTTTGGATTTCATGTCTAATCTATCTCCAGGCTGTTTCCATCTCCTCAGTGAGTAGGTTGCAATTCTCTGTGACGGTTCATTTGTCTTTGGAAGCACTTCAGTGACAAATGTTTAAGGGAGTGTAGGACAATGGTCAGGAACAAGGGGGGCAGTTCATTGAACTGAAGTGACCATACAGTAAATAGAAGAGGTTCAGCTTCACTGCTCACCCGAGCACACAGCAAGGCTTTTGTATGTAACCACAATGGACATAGCATAAGGTCTCTGTTGATTTTTAACAATATATAGCAATGTACACGCGAAAGCCCCATATGTAAAGTGGGAAAATGGCCCTAGGGAAGTGAAGTTGTCCACTCAGGCCACCTCTATACTTGAATAGAAGTCCTACAGTCACCCATAAGGACTGGACAGCTCCTGGTCCCAAGTGTCACATAGTGTAGAGGCCATTGAGCTCTAACATGTTCCAAGGGGACTAGAGGTCTCTAGTGGTTCCACAGGAAGACGGAATAGCATCCCTTTCTACCCTGGAGAATATGAACAGTGATAGAAAGCAAGAGAAAGAACAGAGCATGGAGTTAGGAGGTCATGTCTTTTTTTTTTTTTTTGCCCCAAGCTCGTGCATTTACCTCATCCCAACAATGTTACACAGGCTCCAAAGTCGGGACCCTAGAATGCCATAAGAACTTCCAGAAACATGCCACAAATTCTCAGCTTTCCAGTTTAGACTTTTCTATATGAGCACTCAGAACACAACTGGAAGCTCCAGAATATAGTCTGTGTATCTTTTCCAAAGCACAAAAAGGAAAAGTATGCCATCATTGTTTTCTGACCCCTCACACCAAGAAACACGGGCAATGTTGTCAGTTGACCTGGCTTTCTCCCAGCTGCTCCAGGGAGGATGGTGGGCGAGCATCAGGTTACACAAGCAGTGTGGCCTCAGCCGAGTCTCCAGTGGGGCGCTCTGCGTGCCAGTTAAGTTGGACATCACTGTACTCTGTTTGAGAGATTGCTTCTGGAAGAGAGTTGACAAAGTTCACCCTTGACTATCCCGATGACATAAGTAATGTGCTGTTAGCATCAATAACCCCCAAGGCATCCGTTTAATCGATTTCGTAAATAACACAATGATCTACTACAAAATAGTGGACTGTATACACTATATTTTGGCACAAAGATGGTCATTCTCCCACTAGTAACCAGGGGCTCTAAATAAATGATTTCAACAATGTTTTATTAAAGGCGACAAGAGCCCTCGAGCTGCATTAATCGGGGAGAAGTCGAGTGGCACCTTTGTTATGGAAATGCTGAGCACATAATGGCAGGGCCAGACAATGTGCGGCCACTTCATTCTTTCAGCCATGCTGACACCTCTTAAAGAGGAACTGCAGGGAAGGATGTGGGAAAGATTTGCTTTCCTAGGAAGCTCTCAGCTCATATTTTGGAGAGCTACCTCCAAACCCTGTGTAAAATGAGGAGGCCAGAGGGCTGCTGAGAACATGGAAGGGTTTCCACTCCTTATTTCAGGGGCCTAAGTTCCCTACAGACTAGGTGTCTACTTCCTTTGTTTTTTAGCATGGCATTTCCCAAAAAATATTTCACCAATTGTTTTGAGTTGTTTTTAAAATGGCTCAAAGACTCGATCATGTTATGTCATGTATAGCTTGGACAGGGTCTCTTAAAGCAAATTGAAGCTATCTGAAGTCTGTCAACAGGTAAATATACACAATTATATCAAAGACATCTTCATCTGTGACCAAAGATGAAATAGTAGTGTCTGACTCCAGCCCCTCCTTTGTGGACACATTTCTGGTTTTTATTTTTCCCTCAGTATCTGTCTTATTAAGGTACCTACAGTGTCTAAGATCTTGGATATCAGTTCCTGAATACTGGAGAGGGCAACATTCCATAAGAAATTTACTGTGCATTTTATCCCTGATCAATCACTACTGAGAACCATGTCCATGTCTCTGAGATGTGACCCTTTCTCAGACAGAATTCTTTTATGACATCGATGTCCCTCAGTCTTCAGGTTTTGCCTGTCACTTCTTGCTCATTAAATAGTTCCACCTATTTGGAACATTTTTTTAAGAAGCTTTGAACATAGCTTGTCTGGCTGAGTATAGTGGTTCACACCTTTAGTCCCAGCACTCAGGAGGCAAAGACAGGTAGATCTCTGTGAGTTCAAGGCCAGCCTGGTCTACATAGCAAGTTCTGAGACAGACAGGGCTATACAGAGAAACTCTGTCTCAAAAGGGGGGGGGGGGAGTAGCTTTTCTGTTGACTAAAGTTTTTTCTGTAATACTGAACATGTAGAAGGGCATCCGACAGGTACAATTCCACAGACATCACTTGGGGAAACTAAACACAGTGGGATTTTTCTCAGTCAATATGGGTACAGAAAATTTTATCACATAATGAAAGAAGATGGTAGGACTGAGAAAAGCTGGAAGAAAGTGATACAGAGGCAAAGCCCATGGGTGATAAGTGCACTGTGTATGTACATGTATATGTGGCCACTCATCACTAGAGTATGATGTGGGAAGTAGCAGAAATGAAACTTAAAAGACGGGCTAACAGAAGCTTTGAAGGTCATGACTGATATGAATTTCACTTTGCACAATGTCCAAGACAGGGAGTTTCTGACTGAGTGTCTGAGAACAGGGGGCAGCTTTTGTAACAGGACATATGAACTTTTTTTAAAGAGCTGAAGATCGGAGCAGGGCCCAGTGGACAAGCATTGGGGAGGATGAAGGCAGACTCGAGACGTTATGACTGGTTAATGTGGGTGTAAAGGGAGACAGAGGCCAGTGCAACGGCCCTGGACTTCCAGGCAAGATTTGGATCAAATCGCCTAAGAGAAGAAGTTTGAAGGGTGAATGGTATTTGAGATGTTTCAGGATATTCT